ACTCTTTCGTCGTCTTATCTATGTAGTTTTATATGTTCTGTAATATGTGGGTGATGAAAGGAGGTAAAAGTATTCTCTCATTTCACTTCCGAGATTACCGACTCGTCTTTTTCTGCTTTATCGATCTAGTTGGTCCAACTTTTAGTAGTCTTAAAAAGATGGCACTGTATCAAACAGAAATCATAATCATTTAAAGTTTTTAAAAAATTGCAATGGGAAAAAAATTAGTTTCTTTTTATATGACAAGATATTTATAGAAATATTAAATATCTAACATTAAGAATAATATGATCAAATTTAATTATAGAAGATTATAATATATCTTCTATAATGATGAAAAAGTATAAACTAACGAGAAAACAATAGCTCTACTATTATTAATGCTATTATATTCTTATTGATATTAAGATACATTTTATTGATTATCATCTTGATGCGTTATATAACAATTATATTATAATTGTAAAATATATTTAGTAGTAATTAAAAACATAGCAAAAGGGCAAAATATTTCTATCAATATTATAAATAAGAAGAAATTAAAAAATCGAAGGAAATTTTTTAATATATTTCAAATTTTCTTCGCCCGAATCTCAGGACAACGTGCTATTTAACATATGGTGTATGTATGGTGCCTCCCTCATATTACTCATTTTTTATGTCTTTCATTTTTATCTCCGTTCCCTTCACTTTCTAAAAAAGATTTCATCGCAGCAACCCATTTTCCGTAACAATGATTCCAAGACCTCTTCCTCCCCAACAGACCCTACACCACCAACCATTCTAAATAACGTTCCAATGGGAGTACCCTTCAAGAAACCATCTCGTCTTACTTTTTCGCCATGATCGATATACCGACAAAAAAATGCAAAGTGGTTTATCCGAACTTATTATATTTATTGCCTGCTTATCTTTATTTGTTCCAACCCACTAAATCTTGAGTCAAATCTTAATTTCTAGAAGATATTTTAAACCATAATACGCTTCATTTCTTTTGCTCCATTGTTTTTCTTCATATTTGCAGCATTTTTCCCTCGAATTTGTGTACATAAAATACAAAATTATTTGCTATTTTCTTCTAGATGCTATTTATTTCTATTTATACACTTATACTTTCTTATAACATTTATTTAAAAATGTAAATTGTTACAGTTTTTTTAATATATATGTTTACAATGCGAATTATTTATTGAATTATCTAAATAGAATATTTTTTTGAAATTAGTGTACGACACATTATTTTTTGAAATTGCATTTTTAACGCATACATACAAATAACTATTAATATTTGAAGGTTCTTAAAGATAATATGTCGTATAACTGTCGACGTCGAGTGCTTGTTAGATGTCTGAAGTGTTTCCGTTTAAAGTTTCATGGTCGAATCTGGGTTTGGTTGGTTCGATCACTGCCGATCAGCGGCAGTGATTTATAAATTCATAATAAAAAAAATGGATGCAGTCAAAACTTCCAGACTTCAAACTGCTCTATATTTAAATTATCTCAGCACTTGAGATAATAGCCTGAAAAATATTATTATTATTACATTGTTATAAATTTATGTACAAATAGATCGCATAAATTGATGCGAAAGAACATTATTTTATAATTAATTGAAATAGAACAATTTAGTGTATTATATTAAAATGGAAATTAAGTAATTAGCTACAAATGAAAATTTGATAGACATATAAATACGAGTGAAACAAAAGATTTACTTCATACATACAAAATATGTTAAACAATGGTCGTTTTAAGATTTTGATAATGTAAGTTGGAAAAATATTGAGGTGTACTTACTATTGTATAAAATAATATAAGATTAGTCTAGCACATTTTTTTGAGTCTATATTGCAAACTGTCGAAATGGTTAAGTAAACTGTACCATGTAATACAGCTGACGGGCAAATGTAGTAATATAAACAGAGATTCGCGATATATAAACGAAGATTTCTCGACAACCGAATGTAAACGCTGACATATGCGTACGATTCGTAGAATCTGATTTGCCGCTTCAGATCCGAATCACAGTTTTACAAAAAAACATACTTTTTTTTAGATTGGGGACAATATTAAGAAAATTTAACTTAAATAATAAAATGTAACTTAAAATTATTAAGAAAGGCTTGTCTCTATAAATTATTTAATTTTAATTGATAGAATATTGATGCTTTTTTTGTAATAAATAAAATGCTTACATAAAATTCTTATAAAATTATTTGCAAAAATGCCTGTTAATTAATTGAATAATTTAATCTTTTTTTCTTTGATTAAAGCCATAAAAGATATACAAGTATATTATAATGTATTAATAATATACATATATGAGTGTGTAAAAAATGATAACAATATATATTTTCTAGAATTCTGCTTTCGTATCTTTTTTCACATCGCAATGGATGAAAAAGATATTAATTTCGAATAGATTATTTTTGGATATAAATTGACATAATAATTACATATTGTTCCATCTAAAATTTTCATTATAGAGTTAGATAGACAAAAGGGACGGGTTTTTAGAAAGTAGACATTAAATGTATAATATATATGTCGCCCTTTTTCCTTCGAAATAGCCGGGGCTGAAATCCAGGAAATGTGTGGAATTTCGAGAGAAGAATATGTATAATGTTGCTAGCACACTGACCAATGAGATGGTGGCGGAGAATTGGGCGAGGGATACTAGGGGTGGAGATCGGACTGTCTCTCATTAAATTTAATTGTCCCTTAGGATGAGCTTCCTTAATTACTTAGCCCTCTCTACGATTCTCAGCACCTCTTATATAAGCGCTTTATATAGCCTCTGGATCTACTTGCGTTTGTAACAATTCAAAGTATTAGGACATTTCAAACATTATTTCAGACAGTCAGATTGAAATTTTGATTCGACGAACAATAGAAAATGTTGCGTAATTATTTTTCTGTATACGTATATGTAACTACGTCGCCATATGATTACTCGTCTGCGACGTATGAATACTATTCATCATACAACGTCATACATATTGCATCATATATCATTAATCTTCAAAATGAAAAAAATTGTAGAAATCAAAACGTTTTCTTTGTCGAGATAACGCGCATCAGCTGTACCGTCTCTTACCTTAGGCGACGAGGGGTACACAACGGCCGACAGTCCGACTAGAGTGGTGGAAGTTGGGCAGGCGGGATGAAGTAAGGGATGATAGGTGGGGCAAAACGAAGAAAGAGGGGAAACAGTCTCTAAATATGCTAATACCCGCGCCGTGGAGTAATGAGTTTCTCGCGCCACTACGATTCACCGGACTGCTATGCATATATATTCACGGCTATAAACACAACTTAGATTACTGTACTATGTAGCGTATCAACTGCCACGGCACTTATGTATCAGTCGCCCTATCACGATCCCATCTCTTGTCCTTATCGTAAGATATATGTACATATTATAAGACATATAATATACAGGGTGCGGCATTTATAGTGACGCGGGCATATTTTTCGGAAACGAAGTGAGATATCAAAAAATGTTTCAGACAAAAGTTGCATGGTTTCGAGGGGGCCACATGATAAAAATATGGATTTGACCTTAAGTGGTCTTTTCAAGGTGAGATCAATGTGGTCGATGTTTTCTTAAATGGAACCCC